GAGTCCAAGTGGAACCAATAATGTTCCAAGTGATACATCATCCGAACAGGCCGAAACTTCCACTAGAAAGCCAAAACGTAGGGCTAATTGTCATAAGTCATTGGAGGAATTTAATGATCAGAAACATCAAAGAAATGCTAGATACAATAAAAATCTAAAAGAAAGAAAGCATGTCTGGAGATCCAAAACTCCTAACTTCGTTTTTCAAGAAAAATCAGCAAATCCAAGTGCGAAAGTCTCTTCACATGGGAATCCTAAAAATCAGCCTTCGTCTCCACAGGTTTCAAACACAAAAGTTTTTCAAAAACCTTCTTTTTCAAAAAAAGCGAAACCTATGGAGAAAAAAAGTCTCACTTCTCTCCTAAAACTAATGTGTCCTAATCTGTCAACACATCGAAAGATGTTAAGGGCAAAGGAAATGTAGTTTCGCAGCCAAAAATTCCTTCAAGGAGGTCCGAAACTAACTCAAAAAGAGTTGAGAAGAAGTTTGTCAAGAAACAAATCAAATATAAACAAAGGAAATTATCTTCAAAAGATCAGAACTCAAAAGATAATAGGATCATTGTCTTTTAAATCACAGAGAAGGATAATTCCACCTTGATTAAACGCTCTTATTTATTTGATGTTGCTATCACTTTTCCTAAATCTGTGAAAGCCTCACGTGGACGCAAAAACCTTTGGGTTCCTAAATCTCTTTGATTTTTATAGGTGATACGTGACAAGCAGTTTGACTCTGAATGGTACATTTATAGTGGGTGCTCACATCACATGACCGGAAGGAAGGAAGAACTATCAGAGTTCGGAGCATTGAAGGATGGTGGAAAAGTGAAATTTGGCAGTAATTCACTCGGGTAAATAAAAGGATATGACATGATCACGAATGGGGTATTTCCCATTCGAAAGGTAGCATACGTAGAAGGCCTGCAACACAACCTGATTAGAGTGTCTCAATTGGTTTTAGGTACTAGATTAAAAGTATCGTTTGATGATGAAGGATCTGAGATCGTTGAAAAGGAGACCAGGACTGTGCTCCTAAAGTCAAAGTGTAAAGGATAGATGTATCCACTCAATCTGAACCCCATTAAAGGGAAGCCTACAATCTACCTACTTACAAAAGCTTCTTCAGATGATAGCTGGCTATGGCACAAAAGGCTCTCGCACCTCAATTTAAAAGACATAAATAAACTCGTTCTTGGTGATCATGTGAGAGGGATTCCTCTCTTGAAGTATGATAAGGAACATCTTTGTGCAGCATGCGAATTAGAGAAAAAGAGCAGGAAGAGTCATCCAACAGTTGTGAACACCAAAGTGATAGAACCACTTGAACTTCTGCATATAGATGTTTGTGGTCCTTCTGCAATTGAAAGCATTGGTGATTTTTCTAGATTTACCTAGGTGTATTTTCTTGTAATTTTTAATAATTTTTCTAGATTTACATAGGAAGAGTCATCCAACAATTGTGAGCACCAAAGTAAAAAATATATTCTTGTAATTTTTGATGATTTTTCTAGATTTACCTAGGTGTATTTTCTTAAACAGAAATCAGAAGCCACTCCCAAGCTCAAGGATTTTATAAAGCAGATCGAGATTCAACTACGAAAGCTAGTTCGTAACATTCGCAGTGACAACGGTTTGGAGTTCAAAAACCAAGCATTTGAAGAATTTCTAACTGAAAAAGGAGTAACTCACAACTTTTCCGCTCCTTACACTCCTCAATAGAACGAGGTCGTTGAAAGGCAAAACCGGTCTTTGTGCGAAGCTGCGAGAACCATGCTATCATTTACGAATCTTCCACTCTACTTCTGGGCGGATGCTATTGGAACAGCCTGCTTCACACAAAATCGATCAATCCTCAATAAGCGATTTTCTATCACACTCTATGAGATATTGAATAATCGAAAACCTAATGTCATGTTTTTTCATGTATTTGGTTCCAGATGATTCATTTCCAATTCTAAAGAACAAAGGAACAAATTCGATGTGAAGGCTGACAAAGGTCTTTTCTTGGGGTATTCTCTGACTTCTAAGGCATATAGGGTTGTCAATAAAAAGTTCAAAAAGATAGAAGAAACCTATTATGTCACGTTCGATGACAATTATTTAAATAAGTATCAGAAGTTTGACAATCAACCAAAGGAAATCTTTCCCAAGTCATCTCCAACAACGATTCCACTCTCCACTCTCTACGATGAATTCATGAATCTATTTGATGAGCCAGAGAAGGTGATATCTTCAGAATCCAAAGCAGCAAATAACAAAAAGGATGTGCTGAAGAAAATTATCGACAAAGCTGCAACGAATCTTGAAAGCGAGCCTCAGAATCGAAAGAGCCACAAGCTGCGAATACACCATTTCATGGGGAGGGTTCGTCTTCAACCTCCACACCCAATGCATCAATTAGGGGGGGGGGGATTCATTCCCCTCAAGTAAACCATGAAAGTCCAATCCAGGGGAAGAATCCTATTCTGGACGTAGATCTCTACTCATCATTCGAGGGGGAGAATGAAAATACAAACGATGATTCGGATGCTCAATCGAAATTTGAAGATGTGAAACTGGATCCAGCTTATGATCCAAATTACCCTCCTTTAACCAAATGGACCAGAGTTCATCCAAAAACACAAGTAATAGGAGAATCGTCTTCAGGAGTTCTTACGAGAGCACAACAAAAGGCAAAGCAGACTGCATTATTCATTAAAGTAGAGTATTGCATGTTCAATTCGTTTATCTCCAAAATTGAACCTAAAAGTGTTCAAATTGCTCTTGATCATTCTGATTGGGTGCAAGCAATGTAGGAGGAGCTCAATGAGTTCGAACGCAACAAGGTCTGGAGACTGATTCCTACTCCGAAGGATGCATCTGTTGTAGGTCTAAAATGGGTGTTTCGTAATAAGCTAGACAAGGAAGGGAATGTGATACGAAACAAGGCTCGGTTAGTAGTTAAAGGGTATTGTTAGGAAGAAGGCATAGACTACGCGGAGACATCCGCACCAGTTGCATGACTGGAATCAGTTCGCATCTTCTTGGCATATGCAGCACACAAGAACTTTGAAGTATATCAGATGGACGTCAACTGTGCCTTTCTGAACGGGGAACTATAAGAAACAATATATGTGGAACAACCACTAGGGTTCATAAACGAAAACTATCCCATCCATTGTTACATTCTGGACAAAGCAGTTTATGGTCTAAAGCAAGCTCCACGAGCCTGGTATAAAACTCTCACTCAATTTTCAAAACAGGCTAAATTTAAACAAGGATCGGTCGACCCAACCTTCTTTCGCAAGAAAGATGGTGACCACTTCATGATCGTCCAAATTTACGTTAATGACATCATCTTCGGATCAACTAACCCCAACTTAACTGCTGAGTTCCAAAAGTTGATGGAAACTAAGTTTGAGATGAGCTCCATGGGGCTGATTAACTTTTTCCTTGGTTTGAATATAAAACAGAGTCATGAGGGAATCTTTATCAATCATGAGGCTTATACGAAGACCTTACTTGCTAAGTTTGGAATGGTGGAAGATTCGAAGGTGAAGGTTCCTATGACATTCAGAATGAAACTGACACCATCTTTGGACAAACCAGCTGCTGAATATGGTACCCATCAAGCTCAGGTTTCTTTGTGCAAACATTTTCTGATGCTGATCTCAGAGGTTGCGGTTTAGATCGAAAAATTACAACGGGAGGATGCCAATTTCTTGATGGGAAACTCATCAGTTGACAATCTAAGAAACAATCTTGCGTCTCCCTATCGACTGCTGAAGCTGAGTACATAGACGCTGCCTCTTGCACTTCACAAGTAATCTGGATTTAAAGTCAACTTCGTGACTATGGTATTAATATGAAGCGAATTCCCTTGTATTGCGACTCTGAAAGTGTCATTTGTATCTGTCACAACCTAGTGCAACACTCAAAGACCAAACACATCGCATTGAGGTATCACTTTATCAAAGATCACATGGAAAATGAAAATGTCGAGATGCACTTTGCTAGATCCGCTGATCAGCTGGTCGACATCTTCATGAAAGCCTTACCTGAACAAACCTTTAATCGCATTCTTCAAGGCTTAGGAATGATAGAGGCTGAATCTGTTCCGAAACCACCTTCACACTCATAAAGTTTTGGTTCACCTGTGAATTGGTGCGAACGCTCGCAGTGACTCACAGCTCACAACTCACACTGCGAATTGGTGCGAATGCTCGCAGTGACTCGCAGTCCACTGTTCATTAGGTGGTTCGGAGCTCTGTGTATCCTTTTGTATATTATGTTGTTATTTTTTCTGTTTTTATTTCTTTTTCAGAAAAATCGAAAATCCAAAAAGATTTTATTTCTGTTTTTTTTTCAGAAAACTCAAAAATACAAAAACATTTTCTTTGTTTTTATTGTTATTTCTTTTCATAAAATTATAAAATACCAAAAATTTATGCACACTCATACATGTACTTTACGTAATGCAACTAGTATATATTTTCTTGTTTCTTTTAGTATTTGAATGGTTTTATTAAGTCCCAGATAGTGGGTAGTTTCCCTTTTTTGCATTTATTTCCTTTATGTGTTAATGGTTAGTAGTTATGAATCTTAGTTTTTGAGTTCTTGTTATATATGGCCCCTTTGTAATCCATCTTTTAGTAATATGTGAACATACTATTGTGTGTTTTAGTGTGATTCATTCTTCAATGTTTTGCTGAATTCCCTAGTTGTGTACTAGGACGATTGTATTCCAAAGGTTAACATTTTATAGTCGTGTGTATATTCTGCTTTAGTGAATGTGAATACCAAGTATTGAATAAACTGCTTCGTTAAAAAAAGTAACTTTGTTTTTCTAATTAACACAATTCAAAAGTATAACGATTATCCATATAAAGAAAAGGTGAAAAGAGAAATAAAAAATTAGGCTTCTATAGAAATGGAGAAGCCTATCAACACAGTGCCTTTATGTACAGAATTATATTAACAGTAATAATGAAAGAATGTGAATGCCTAAATCATAGTTATGATTATAACACATTGATCCTAGCCCTAGCATGGCCTTGAGATACCTGGAACTGCTCCGTGATGCCTAAATGTGCCATGAGAAGCCAAACATGAGTTAGGAACTCGCCTCCTTTCCGAAGCTGTTGCTCATGGTGAAACCCTCTGCAGTGAGTAGCAGCATAAGCTAGGATTTCAATCCATACTTGACTCACGACTTTCCACATTTTGTCCCTCTCCATCTCTGATCTCAAAGATAACGCTAGCCTGCAACCATCAAACAGTGCAGATTTGCATCGATCTCCCTTAACTGTGCTAGGCAACACTTCAAGACAATCAACTTCAAGCATCTTTCTACAGGCTTTAGATTTCGTGGCAAAAGTAGGACCTTTTTTCTTTAAAGAAACGCATGGCTTCAGCACATGTGTCACGATACCTGATCATGCCAATACCTATTGGCAACATAACTGGGTATGATACCAGAAGATACAAAAGATAATCAGAAATGTTCTTGCTTTCCCTACGATGGATATCAATGTTTCCCACATGGTCTTTATCTTCATCCTCTGCGTAATAGCAAAGAGCAGTAGCAATGTGCCATATAAGAATACTCTGATCGAATTCCACCTTGTTGATACTCCATAAAAGGGCGTCACACTTATTCTCTCGGAGTGCAAAACTACCTTTATGAGTACATAACACTTTGGGATCAGAGTTTCCACCCATGGACTCATGAAACGGCCTGTAAATCAAATCTTGCAGGTCGTCTGAAACTTTCATGTATGTCTTGTAACGGTGCTTTACTCGATACTTATCTACCCCAAAGAATTTCTGAATTGCCATTAAACTAGCGGGCTTCTCCTCGAGTGCAACACTTAGTAGGTCTAATTGTGCAATGGATCCAGACCACCTTTGTTTGGTTGGTTGTTTCAAGAACTGGAATACGAGGCTCTTCCTTGTGTAGTTTCGCTGGCTCAACCAGTGATCTGTCCAATCAGAGCGAAGCATGGTAATAACTGCAAAGATTTCCATAAAGATGGTTGCACCGATTAACAGGCTGGTAATTGCAACATCAATCCAATGGTAATGATTCCTATCATTGAGAAAATAAAAACCCACTGGTATTAGAAAAAGGAGGAAAATGCTAGTAAGTCGAAGAATGAGCCCTAAGATCGTGTACACCACATTCGCCTTGGTGTAAAGCATGTCATATGCAAATCCAAGTTCAATCTCAACAACACGAAAAGCATCACTTGATTTAAAATGACGGAAGTAGGATAAGCTACTATCCCGATCCTCAAATGTGAGGATGAGATCAACAAAAAGCCGCTTGAATGATTGAAATAGATCATACGCTATAGATATTTCCTTCCCTTCTTGAGGATATGCGTGATTGATTACCGGAAGAGGGGGCTCAGGAACTGCCTCAACTTTCGCATTGAACCCCTGTGACTTTTTTCAAGTGAAGATCCTCCAGGAATTTGGGATAATTCGGACCAGGGTCAGCAGGACCAAGCATTGAGTCACGAAGATGCTCAGTGTTTGCTAACCTTAGAGCTTGAACACGTTCGAAACACTTGATGAAACCGGATAAATAAACCAATAGGCTTAGCTGTGGGAGATGAGAACAACCTGGCCAAGACAACAAGAGTATATACAGAGCTACTCCTGATTGAAACCCAATCTCTACAAAGTGTCTTAACCAAAAGCTCGTTGTCTTCCAATGCGAAAGCAGTGATTGTATCTGGCCCACCAAGGTGATGGAGAAGAAAGGGCGCCCAAAAAGACATGAGCTCACTACTGTTGGCCTTGTGATGTTGTGAAATGGAATGAGAGGTGTTGCATACATCTAAGGCAGTTCGGGTAATAATACCAAGAGCTGCTGATGCGACTGCGTATGCCAATAAGTAGTTACACCACAGAGTGATTCTGATTCGTGTTCTGGGATTGTATTTCCGAATATTGCCTAGTAAGCTTAATATGATCTGCGAAGAAAGGCTAATCAAAATCAGTCCACGTAGTGCCCACTCATTCCACATATTCTTGACCTCATCTGGTACTAGCTGCACTAAGTTTCTGTGATTCATATGCGTAATGAAACCAATAACTGGTAAGAAGTAAAACAAATTAAAGATATCAGTTGAAAAATAGTTACGAACGGAGGACTGCAGGAAAATGCTATAAAACCTGATGACCCCAACCCGTGCACAATGTTACAAACAACATAAACAGGGCCGGCCAAAAAATACCGGGCCAACTGGGCCACGGCGCAGGGAATCAACTTAGCAAGGGCATCATTTTTAGTAAAACTTTTATAGGTTTAGTAATTATTTGGGCCCAAATTTTTATCCACATATAGGTCAAGTCCATCATCAATCTTTGGGGCATGAGCGATCAGGCATGACTTGAGGGCTTCGCAGCAGCGACGCACGAGCATCGGTTAAAGCTTAAGGCGGCAAAATTTTCAGAAGGTGAGGAGACTTCACGCAAAAGAAGACTTACATATGTGCATCATCATTCTTCAAGATTCTTGAAAACAATTTACTGAAATCCAGACTAAAGAATTATCGAGGGGGAGGAATGTATTATTGGTTCAAGATTCTTAAAAATCATATACTGAAATCCAGGCTAAAGAATAATCGAGGGAGGAGGAATGTATTATTGGTTGTCTTGTGGATGAAGATTGGGGGACAGGGATCAGGATGTATATATAGATAATATTCTGTTGATAAACAAACAGTAATGTTGGTTACTGAATAAAGAGGAAACATCCATTACAGTCTCTAGGTAAATTCCAAGCACTTTCAAACTGAGATATCACGAAGATTTAGTTATTAATATCCAACCTACAAACACGGAGGGGAAAGATTTATGTTTTCAGTTTGGTCTTCTCCTCTTCCGTACTAGGTTGTAGGTTCCTCAGAAATTGCACCCTATGTAGTTCTTGACTTGTGTGGCAGGTGTGCTGGTCTTGTTACTCATGTGGCAAAGATATTTAGTATATGTGTTCACATTTGTTTTGCCCAGTTAACGCTATAGGGTATGGTCACATCCAATCCATTTAAAAAATGATACTATCCAATCGTTCACCTCCGCTACAAACCTAATGTCAAACAACTAGCTTTTGAAAATGGTTACTATTCCAAATATATATATATATATATATATATATATATATATATATATATAATATATATATATATATATAAATTTTTCCTAAACAGCTAAATATCGTATTTGTCATTCTTAATATTTTTTAATATCATATATATCCAAATCTATTTTTTGATTATTTTTATTGATTTATAATTCTCTTTAATTATATTAAATCATTATAATTGAAAATATATATGAAATGGACAATAATGCCCTTGTAATTTCAATACCAAGAATCGGTGTGCCTTATCCCACCTTAATTCCGATCCAATCCCTGTTAGTAGTTCCGACCGAAGCTTCTTCCCCATCACAAAATCTCGATCGAGCCCGCAGCCTCAAACTTCCGATTGTTGCTTCCCCGATGTCAACACACAAACAAAAACTCGATCGAGCCTGCTGCTCCGTCAAACTTCCGATCGCTGCTTTCCAAGTGGCACACACATGCACAAAATCTCGATCGACTGCTCCCTCATAGCTTTCTTCTCGTCATCTGTTTTTAGGTTATAAGTGAAATCTCCTACTCTGATTCAGGTACATGTTTCTCATGTAGCTTTACACTCTCGATCAAAGATATTATTATTATTTTTTGATTTTAAACTTTTTGTCTTGCAAAATCGGTGTAATACAATGTCAGGAGCAATGGTTGAATTTAGAGGTCTGCTAATCTTGTTTAATTGTTAGATTTAGTTGATGTTCTAAGTTGAAATTCATGATATAGTGCAGTAGTAACTAACATATATGGATGGAAAGAAGTCTGAATATTGCGTTTCCTTCATAGGTATCATGTTTTCAGTACTCTGTTAATCATGTTGATCATGATAATGATGTGAAAGCTCTGAGTATTCAAGCCATATTATATATTGATATACCAAGAACATAGTGATAGACATTAATGGATCCATGAAAATCCCTTATTTTGGTTTTTAGAAGCGAAGGTTTTTGTTTGTGGGCTTGTTATCTTTCCATAGTTTTATCAGAAGATCAATAATCTCTTTCAAACAACATCAAATCTCAAGAAATAGTAAATCAAACATAGGATTTTACTTATTGTTGGCATGTATTTAAGTATTTAACTATTGCTTCATTCTTCCTTTATACCAAATGAGTAATTTAGAAACAAATTTCAGGTTGCATCATGGCAACAAAAGGGAATTCAGGAGAAAATAGAGTTAGAAGTTCCATTGCCATATTCATATCCACTGTTGACAAGGCTATTCAAAATTGGGGTATGTAATCTTGCATTTTCATAAAATCTTTAACCAGTTTTTAACTTGTTATGTAACATCCTATTTAATTAATAAATAAATAGATAAAATTTGATGAACGAATAGTCACAATAAATTCATATTATTTAGCGGGGTGTAGGTTTCGGGGAGCCAAATGAAATAATTTTAGATGTTGGGGGTTAAAAGTGTAAGTTCTGGATTTAATTTGAAAAGTATTTTAAAAGTCATGGTGTGCTTGGTAATTATTGGACTTAGATTGAAAGGATTTTGGAATGTTGGGGGTTAAGTGGTAACTTCTAGGACTAGAATTGTAATGAACTATTAAAGAAGGGGTTTAATTGGTAAATAATGGATTGAATTTGAAAAGAATATGGGGGGGGGAGGGGCTGGAAGTGGATGAAGGACAAAGTTTGCATGTGGACCGGTATAAACCCATCACTTTGTCCGTAACCCTAACCCTAGACTCTCATATCCTCAGCCGCCACCTTCACGTATCCTCCCTCCAGTCGCTGCCATCTCTCTCGTACTCACCTTGCACCACTGAGCCATTGTGGTGCCGTCTGGTTGAAGACAAAAGCCGATGTTAGACATCATGGAAGCGGATGATCGAATGGAGCACACACGGGATGTCGCTGCTGCTGTTTCCGGTGGAAGCCGCCACCCTCTTCGCATCTTCTTCCTTTCCGCCACCTCCCCGTCGTGTTCTTCTCTTCCCTGTTCTCCTGTAGCTACTTCTCAGTCATGACCGTCGCCGTTTGGATCGTTGTTGTTGCTCCGGCTGTCCCACTGCCACCTTCTAGCCATCGCAACGCCGCTATTGCTACCTAGCTATCGAAGAAGACGATGGCTGCTGCTCCGACGTGATTCACTTGTAGAGATCGGTAGACCCACTGTTGCATCGTTGCCGATAGTCGTCGCTATCTTATCTCGTCACCACCAGCCACCATGGGAGGTGGCTGTGAGTTTGTGTGGGTGTATGGTTCTGTTTCAAGTTTGTGTGATGTGGGGATGCCTGACCGAGAACCGAAAGAAATCACCGCCACCACCGTGAGGTGGTGGCTGCCATCATGAAACCGCTGCTACCGCCGCCGTGCGCCACCAGGTGGGTGGCTGGATCCGTTTACAAGAAAGAAAGCATGTGGGTGTTTGTTTCTGCTTTAGTGTGTGTTATGTGTGTAGTTTGGTTGGCTGGAAAATCAAGAACAGCCACAATCACCACCGTGAGGTGGTGGCTGCCGCCGCGTACCACCGCCGGGCACCACTAGGGTGGTTGTGTGTGTGTGTTTATTTTAGTGTAGTATGTGTGTTCATTTTGGGATTTCATTGTAAAAACTGTAATCGTGACGGAATAATGAAAAAGGAAACTTAAACCACCATCGTAGACTGGTGGCTGCCACCTCCTGCCGCCGCCGGTCGCCGTGTCAGGTGGCGCTGTGCCTCGTTGTGTTGTGATTCGCTGGGATGTTTGGACAAGAGACTAAAACCCTAATGGACCTTGTTATCCCTAATGGTCCCAATGAAGCTTAATGGTCCTAAAAGCCCAAACATGTGACTAATGGGCTTTGTGAAACCGTAATGGGTCTAATGGACCCTAACTGACCTAAGGAAAACCGTAATGGGCTTAAGGACTTAGTTTTGGACCCATTGGGCTAAGATGGGTTGGAAAACCCTAATGCCATGTGATGATCATATTTCGCTATTAGATCGATAGATTCTAAACAGATTAACAAGAATAATAAAGCAATGAACACAAGAATGAATCAAACGATGCGAATGATTAAAATCTCACACCTCAGAAGAGCTCGATGAAGAACTTCGACTGTAGAGGTGTGGTTAGGGTTACAATCCAATAGTAATTTATGAAAACGTTAACCTCAAAGCTATACATGGATGCATAATATATACACTAACCCCTAATGCTTAAACCACGGTTGGACAGTCCCAAACCGGGTAACCAAAATATCAACAATAAGCCCATATGACGCAACACTCTAAACCCAACAATCTCCCCGTTTGCGTCAATAGAGGCGAGACCTTAGTTCGGCTGAGAAAGAGCAGACTTCTTCACCGTCTTGAACACCTTCGGTATAATGGCCAAAAGAGTGTGTCGAAAATGTATATACCACCGAAGCATGTCCGAGAAGTTTTTCTTGTCTGAATCACTGTTCTGTTTACATCTTTGAGTGCTATCAAGTACATGATCCAAACAAGAAGTGGAGAAAAGATGTTTGTCAACAAGAGCAAAAAGAAATCTTTCATTTTCAGCTCTTGTGAACATAACAGTGAGATGTGCCGGATCAATCTTACCCATTTTCATCTTGTTGAGATCACTAGGCTTCCCGATGGTCTTCATGATTGGTTTCTTCCTCAAAACATTTGCACTTCCTGATCCATCTTTGCTACTTCATGAATGTAAGAAGCCAACATTCTCTTTATATGATCTAGGATCGGCTCGTAATGTTCCTGATCAGTAGGCAGAATGTTGAACAATAAAATCCAATCGTGAGGATTCAGATTTGGAAGATCAGCTAAAGAAATCATGTGAACCGAGTCATCAGAGCCTCGAGTCACTCTGAACTTCACATTAATGAATTTCCCAGCAACAGTCGGTTTAATTACCTTGACAGAAGTTATCTTTTGAGCACTCCATGTCAGGTATTGAGGTTAAGCAAATTCAAGATAAAAATCAATTTAAATCCTTATCAACCTTCGGGTGAGGAGAAGGGACTTCGACTGTCGGATCAAAACAGTGAAACACGAATGCCCTGCGTGTGATGGGCATGTCAAATTGTGAATCCTTCGTATTTTCAAAATCAAATGCAGCAACAGGTTCCATCCAGTGGATGGTAGGAGACTCAATTGCTTCTTTTATTAATCTTTCCCTGGTCCAGGTGGGAAAAAGAGCCTGTTTGCAAACCAGAGCATCATGAGCTTCTTTCTGTTTTCGCTCTCTTTCTTCTGCCTCTCTGGCTATTCTTAAATTTTCGTCAATCTCTTTATCTCGTTTCTTCCTCTTTAACGCTTCAACAATTATCTCTTCTTCATTATCATCACTATCTTCCATGAACCCCTTCAATTTTTCCTTTCCACCCGAACCCGAAGCTACATTAAGCTTCGGTTCGGTTGTAATAATAAC